AGGCTCATTGGTTTTATGAAGATTTTGTTAGAGAACAAAACCCAAGTTTGCCAAGCTTTAATTTGAAAAATTTCTCTGCAAAATATATCCTTTTGATTCAATTGATCATGATCACCGAAAATATTACAATGAATAATTGTCACAATATCGAGATGTGCCAATCTTTTAAATATCAAAACGTTATTTCTATCAATCTTTTGCCGGTACCATTATTTAAACTATTCCTAACTCTTGCACACTTTTTAAGCATTGCCCGCTATTACATCAATGGTCTCATGAACACGAAAAAGCGTTTGCAGATTTCATGCAATATAAAATTCGGGTTCCTGTGTGTGGTGCCATTATGTTAAATGATGCAATGGACCAGGTTACTTTTCCTGTTTTTAAAGTGCTCTATATTCTTTGTGATTTTAGCCAATGTCGAAGTTTACTTTAAATAGTATACATTGATAATTATTTACGCATATCAAAGCAATTTGTAATTCAACAATGACCGGATAACACTCTGTGCATACCTAACAAAGGGAACGACCATGTAAAATCTACTGCTCCCATATTTTACACAACCACCTCCACAATGATAAGGAGTATCTTTGTCTCTACTCCTGATCCATGTTGGTAAGTCAGATACTTTATGCCATTCTACTTTCTATTATTGTAAATAAATTTATTAATATTATTTAATTATGGAAACATTTTAGAATTTAGATAGGAATTAGAGGATGACGCACACTAATCTCTTTTCGCGTTTTTGGACAAAATTCGGTATCTTCAGGAACACCAACAACTATGTATAGTCTTATTCGTTGTTCGCGAATAGTTAGTTCTACGTAGTCTTGTTCCCTAATTAGTGGGGTTATATCATATCCGGTTTCTTCCAGAACCTACCGATTTGTTGAATGTATTTAGAAAATTACAGCCATGATAATTTAATTTGAATAGAAAAACGAACCTCGCGAGCTGCGCATGTAGAGTCTAGCTCATCTTTGTTAATTTTTCCCTTAGGAAATCCCCATCCTGAACACTTTTACTTGCCTCCAATACGAGAACGTTAATCACCATATTACGAATTATTACGAAAGAAACTTTATTGATTCAGCATATTCGATAAAACAACACGTATTTGCTGTTAAACCCAGATCCACTATGCATTCTATAAATCAGCTAAGAAATAAGCTCAAGTATAAAACCTGGACCTTTCATCAAGTTTATACTTGCCAAAATTGAACAATTAGTAGCTTAACTTTTCCTCATGTCAAAGTCATTACATATCGATAATGATATCGATACGTATCAATATTATTTGTCATATACTTTATTAGCATCATTACTGTTCAAGCCACCACTACTGCTTATCATGTGATTGCAGATCTCCTCAAACCTTTTTTATAAGTTTTCTTAAATCTTCTTTCTACGTATACTTTTCGTTTTTTAATATATAGTTTAAAAAAAGATTCTAACTTTTTTGATTGTTTATAATTTATTTTTTTTTAATACTTCGTTTACGCAAGCCGCTAACATTTTTATTTTTGACGTGCATTTTCTTTGGGTACGACGGAGTTGTAATAAAATTAAAAGCCTTTTAATTTTACAAATCTTAAACCCAATGGCTTTAGCAAATGCATCTTTTTCAGAAATTTTGGACGACTTATCAAGGTTTAGGTTTACTTAGAGTAAATTTGTGT